CGCCATTCTCTCCGCCACCGTTTTACTCGTAATACTCGAATCTCTCTCTCTCGAGAGTTGTTTCCCTATCTTTTCGCTGACTCGTATACCTCTGACCATCTTCAAAGAGGAGAATTTATTAAATGATTATTATTTGTAAATTTGATTAAGAGCATAAACGTATACAGGTCAAAAGTATATTGCAAGCGTGTGAAATATCGTCTCGTCGTATATTGCTCGCTTGTAATTGCACTCGTCTTTCCGATCCATTTATAAATCATATCCGTTCGAAGTACAGAATACATTTTTTTTTCGGGCGCTATCCCTTGTCAGCGAAATAATCACTTAAATAGGATTACATTTTGTAATCTCGTTTTCGATTAATCTTCTAGATACACTGAGCAAAACGACAACATATCGATGCCACGTCTCTCCGGCCGACACCGCATGGTTAAATATTAATTCGATCGGCGCAAAATTACGCTAGTACTAAGAACTATATACAAATGAGCCGATTAAAAAATAATCTTAGAACAACGCGGGTTAAAGATAAACTAGTCATCTAGTCGCAGTAATAAATTAATTGTTGCATTTCTACATAGTATAACGTGCTATGCGCAATTTTTCGAGCTTTTCGAGATATATTCTAAAGATGATAGAGCCTCTCTTACAGATTAATTGTTTGCCGAAATAAAATAGCCTGTTGTTTTAAAAATTCAATTTGATGAATCGCGACAATAAAAAGCTTCTAAAGTTTTAAAACCTTTTATTGCAAGAAGATCTTGTGATAATAATGCAGCAGGCCAAATCCAACATTATATAATTATAAATTTAAAGTACAAATAAAATCTTGATGTGTCTCTAGTTAACGATTTTGAAAAATATATTACTCTTGATTGCTTTCTGATAATAAAATATAATAAAATTAAATAAACATAATTGTGCAACCGTTGAAATGAGAAAATCTGAGAGGTGCAAAATTGTTTTTCCTATCCTATCATATATGCAAAGTATTTATATACGAAGTAACATATCAATATTAAAACGTCATTTCTTATTATATTCGATTTGTTCAACGTAATTTCTCGATATATAGCTATATGCTTGACTGACAATATCATAATATATGTATAATAGTATTGCTGCGTAATTTTACATTCGTCAAAAATAATTATATAAATTTTGTAATCAATCTTCAATAGATATAGGAATTTCACAATAACAGTTTTCAAAAACGTCCCTTACGTATTCATATACTTACAATCTCACGTAAAAATCTCGTTTCGAAATCTCGTTTCTATTCCCTGTATATTACGAGGGTCAAAAACTGTGTGATCAGTCCAAATATGTGACCAAATGTAAACTTTAAGCAGAAATCAAACATTTTACGTCTCCTCTGTCATCGTAATCATCTATGTAAAAGACCTTAATTTAATTAATGAAAAATTTTTAACTTTAATAAGAAGCAGTCTCTCTGTAACACAGTGATTATCAACTGATCGTTCATTTTAGTCTGAATAGCGTGACATGTATTTCTTTCGGCAGCATTAATAAATGAATTACGCTCATTAAAATACTTTCGTTGAACGTACAGATTCGACAAGATTTTTACGAGTATTGTATCTCAATGGCGTTTTCAATCGCAGCTTCATCAGTTGATAATCTCATGTGTAAAACAAAATTGTACATACACTATATGTAACTGGCTAAAAAAAAAACGTAAGTCCGGGAAATATAGTGCCTCGGCGGATTCTTTACTCGATCAGTCTACTTTACTCGAGAGTCATCTCGCACGATCGCCTTCACGTATCCCTCTTTACGTGTGTTTCTAGTAAATAGTCCGACTAAGGCCTACAAATCTAGAGTGCTTGCTCATAAATATGATATGTCGAGTAAAATGTAATATATATATATATATATATATTTATATATATTTATATCTGCGAGTGTAATGATATTGAATGGTTGTAGCAGAATTAATTATGCGGAGCTGCCGTGTTGCGCCGGCATCGTTGTTGCCTGGAAAACAATATTATTGAACTTTGTC